AAAAAAAAAAAAAAAAAAAAAGAAAAGAAATAACCAAAAATATACACACATAAAGGTGCAAGGAAGCATAGAATTTTTTAACTGACCTTGCGACGACACTGATGAAGAAATGTCAAGTCGGTTTGATTCTGCTCCGCCGGAGGCCTCCGCACTCCTAACAGCACTGTTTTCATTCATTCGATCAGCACACTGTCCAGAGAAAAGGATTCCCCCGTATTTCGTTCGACGTATTCGTGTGATTGGTCGAGACTACTGGCAATATCGACAGATCCGATCAATCACCAAAAAATCACTGGAATTTAACGGATTGCGTTACAAGCACACACACACTGATATTTCACTGGTTCCACGACAACGTAAATCGAATATCGCATTGATTTTTTTTTTTCCTTCGTCGCATGCTCTCTGCTTAATTCCTCCGTAACTTCGTCCATTAGCCGGATAATAATGTTAAGTGTGCAGTCGTTTTGTCGGAATCTCATCTATTCTCTCTTCATCTCCGCGATTTCCATGTCGAATCCTCCCGGCACTGGAGAAACACACATTCGAAGATCACACTTGGCACGTTCGCGATTACTAAATAACCCTCGCTGAGCCACCGCGGTATTATAGAGAAAAAACCTATCTAAACGATCTTCTAAAGAACACTAAACCGTTCATCTACTCGCTAACTAGAGACACGACTGGACGATCGTCCTTTTTCCACTAGTTTTCATTTTTTTTTTTTTTTCTTTTTATGACCTAACCGCACTACGGACTCTACGCGTGTACGACGTGTAAGAGAATAAATAATAAAACGCTTTCCTAAAGGATCATTTTTTTTTTCCACGCGAATACAACGTTTACTCCACGAGAGAAAGATTCATCGTCGCTCGATATGCGCGACCCTATCGCTCGTTCGCTCTTCATTCTCATTCTCATTCTCTCTCGACAGAATTTTGCATATTTCGCATTTTCACTCTTCACTATATATCAATCAATTTACATTCTTTCACAGGGACTCGTTCATACTCTACTATACAATTACAAAGACCGATCCGTTCATCTCGCTAAACTTTTACAATGAATTTTAAAGTACGTGTATTTGTTTCCTTCTTAGTCTCTCACTTTTGCTCTCTTTTTCATACAATTTCATACATTTTTTCTGTCATTCTTCTTCATACACGCACACACACACACACACTCTCTCTCTCTCTCTCTCTCTCTCTCTTTCTCTCTCTGTCGTTCTTTCTCTGCCAAATTATCTCTATCATTATAGGCTTTAGTACAATTACATTCGATTAAATGTAATAGAGGTTAACGCGGTTCTGATTAGCATGTGATCCAGTTTTCCTCCGATCCAATCCCTCTCTCTTTCTCTCCGATTTCTTCTACATTCCACTACGTGATTATTAGAAGATCGCGTGTCCCTATAAATCTTCATCCGACTCGTTCGTGTGTCCGGTTCCTTTTAGTTTCTTTTCCTTTCCTTTTTTTTTTCCACCGTGTCCGTGTCCCTCTCTGCTCCTTTTTTCCCTCGATCCTCCTCGTCTTACCTCGCATTCCCTTCCCTGTCTCTCTTCTCCCTCTCTCTCTCTCTCTCTCTCTCTCTCTCCGATTCTCGCTCGCGCGCGCAATCTCGCTCCCTATCCTTTCGTCTCTTTGTCATCGTCCTGTTCACGTCTTCACTTCCATCCACACTGTCGGCCACGTTCAGTTCTCTTCCATATTCATCTCTATCCCGTTTTCATCTTTATCCCTCTTAACGTTGTCCTCTCCTTTTTTGGTACGAGCAACTTGATTAACACGACAAAATAAGCGTCATTGCTGTATGAGTAGGGTGGTGGTAGTGGATTGGGGCAGGGGCGGGCGTGTGGGCGATTTGGGGGTTTGATATTTGGAGATGTATCGGGGCTGGCATGGGGTCTGACGGTTGGGGCAGATC